GCGGCGACGACGACGACGACGACGACGACGAAGAAGAAGAAGAAGAAGAAGAAGAAGAAGAGTTGGAGGAGGAGGAGGAGGAGGAGGAGGAGGCAGCGACGACGACGACGACGATGAAGACGAAGAAGAAGAAGAAGAAGAAGAAGAAGAAGAAGAAGAAGAAGAAGAGTTGGGAGGAGGAGGAGGAGGAGAAGGAGGACGAGGCGACGAGGAAGAAGAAGAAGGAGGAGGAGGAGGAGGACGAGGAGTTGGGAGGAGGAGGAGGAGAAGGAGGACGAGGCGACGAGGAAGAAGAAGAAGAAGGAGGAGGAGGAGAAGGAGGACGAGGCGACGAGGAAGAAGAAGAAGAAAAAGAAGAAGAAGAAGAAGAGGAAGAAGAAGGGTTGGAGGAGGAGGAGGAGGACGACGACGCCACGAAGAAGAAAAGTAGAAGAGTAGAAGAAGAAGAAGAAGAAGAACAATAGAAGAAGAAGAAGAGAAGAAGAAGAAGAAGAAGAAGAACAATAGAAGAAGACGACGAGGACGACGAGGAGGAGGAGGACGACGAGAGACGATGGCGGGAGAGGAGGAGGAGGGCTCACGACGCGAAGGCCTACCTGGAGATGGTATTGATGATGGCGGCGTTAGGGTGCCGCATCCGCGCGAGCGCACACATGCGCTCGTCGACACGATGGTCGCAGTGTACAGCGATTGGGAGGGGGGGGGACAGCACGGGGGCGGCAGCGGGCGTGGGCGGGCGGTTCCCACCCGAATTCGAATTCGAATTCAGGCCCGATCAGGGCCGTCGATCGGATCGATCGGACGGCCCACATCGGACCTTCTCTGTTTCGATTTTTTTTGGCCTTGCTGGCCTCGGCCTGCGGGGACCGAGGTCCAGCAGGGCCTCTTAACACACTGCGAGGCCTGAGACCCTCCACATGCCCCTTCCAGGCATGGCCCCTATTTTTCGCTGGGGCCGGACATTTGTCGGATATCGGACCGCCGGGCCGGTGGTCCGGTCGGACAACCCAGACCGTTGGGGGGTCCCGGACGTCCGGAGAGGTAACCTAGCTTTCATCTATAATATAGTAACTATATATTTTATCACATGCATAAATTATTATCAGTTGCAAATATTATCAACTAAACGCTGTTTTTTTTTATATATTATTTTGCACATTTATACAGTTATATGTTTAGTTATTATATTGGAGTGATGTTCATTTCGATTGAACAGTTTACCCGGAGTTCCATTTATCTTTTTAGATTATCCGTTATATATAAATGAGGCATT